AACTTAAAAAGATCCATACTTTTAATTTAAGCAAGAGAGTTAAGCACTTATGCCTAATTAACTTTATTCTTTTCCTTGTTATTGTCTAGAACTGATGTGTTCCAAAATTACTTGAGAAATTTTTGATAGTTTACAGGTGTGTTAGTTTTTGTTCAAGTTTACCTGGTTTAATGTTTGTGCTTCACATAACCAGGGTGGTTTCTTTAATTTCACTTAGAAAAAAAACATTTGGTGATTACCAACCATTATGACTTCCCAAGTGACAATAATTTCCATTTCATCCCATGGGACCTGTGGCTACTGGAGACTCATTATCTGGGAAAGACATAATGGCCATTGTTCAGTATGTTGTGGGTTTCTTCATGCACACTGAACATCCCTCTCCCATCCATTCGGCTAGTGTTCCATCTTCCCAATTTGAACATGGCCAGGACGATGATGATTTTGACTGGCTAATTCTCCACCAGGGCTTGCTCTAGGCACAGCTTTATAGAGGAGGAAAATTCTCACCATTGTATTCACTCTGTTTTCATGATTTTTGGTGTGTTCATTCTTCTCTTTCCCTATGTCAATTCTTTCCATTTTTTGCCACATAAAAGCCATACTTAAGTTTATTTTGACTTCCCTCTTTTGCCAGATATTAGGGTCCATGCAGACTTTTCTCTTGAACAATTGTACACCCATAATAACATGCCTCATCCTTCTCATCTACTTGACTCTGACTTATACCCATTCTTCATTTCCATTCATAAATTCCCAGTCTTTGGAATCTCTTTTACCTGTTTGGGGGCATATCTCTTAACTTCTCTTTCCTTTTCTAATGCCTAGTTTTCATGCTTTTACTTCTTTCATACCACCAGGAACATTAACTCATGTCACTTAACATTATTATTATCTGAGACACTTCATTGCTCTTCAGAGGGTTTTCTGGAGAGGTTATTTCTCTTATTTTTACCATATTGGCTCGTAATTCTTCTTTTGCTCTATCCCTTCTTACTTGTTTATTTGCTGTTGGGTCTTGTTGGGATGAGATGCTTTCATAGCTAATATACACCTACCTCACATTTATCTCCATGATCTTCATTGATTTCATTTTCTTTGCCTGGAAATCTTCATGGGTGTTTCTGGCTCACTGAAGACCTATTTTGAAGTGGCCCAGTATCAATCCTCATTCTCTACTTTGGTTTCTTGACTTTCTCAACTTCTTCCTTCTGTTTCTAGGCCTGCTGCATCAACATCTCCCCTTACCATTCCAGCTCCCTGGCCGCCACCGCCTTTCTGTTATGCTTCCTGACGTCAGGATCATCACTCCTCTCGTCACTGACTACCCTATCAGGTCTGGCCCCTTGGGAGTCTTTCTTCACCAGTTTTTTGTCTCTTTTTTTGGCTGATAGTTAGGTTCTTCAGGTTCTCACCTAAGACCTCTCTCTCCACTTCTCCTCCCTTTTTCTTGTTTCCTTTCTTTCTCCCTATGATCCCATTTATTTTTAGCATCTTGTGGTTGTGGTCTTGGATCTCTTGGCCAATAATATCATTAAGAGTATTTACCCTTGTTCTGGGTTATTACTCTTGACTCTGTAATCCTCAAGAAGACCAGGGACTAGCATCCGATTATTGACCTGTTGTCTTTCAACTGGTTTCTTCTCATCCCTCAATTCCATGTGTAGGGTTTCTTTTCTCTCTAGTTGTTTTTTCACCAAGTCTGTGGATGACTAGGGTTGATGTTTGGATGACTTTTTACACATTGCAATTGCCCTGTCCTACAAATGTTTTCTCTGTTTTGTCCATTGAGATTAAATCTTATGGTTCTGTGCCCTTCCTTTTTGTATCATGTCTGCTCCTTATATATTCGTTTGAGTCATGGGGCTGAGGTACCATTATTACATGAATGATTGGCTTCTACTTTTCCCTTCTCAGGAGCACTCCTTCTCTCACACCTACGTTTTTCTGCATGAGTCAACTTGTCTGGATTAGCTTGTCAAACCTTCCTAGACATTTCTCACACCTACCAATTATTTTTTGATAATCTGATCATGCCAATAGCATGCCTTGATGCCTCCCAGCTGGACCTCCATTTCTTCACAGATGCTTCTCTATCGAGCTGGGGTGCATTTCTGAACAATGACATGACTTTGGGCATGGGGGCTTTGGAGGAGCATTAATTCTTCACCAACGTTATAGATTGTCTCGCCATCTATTGGGCATGTTAGACTTTCCTTCCTCTTTTAGTGTATTGGTTGGTCATGGGCCACTCTGACAATTCCACAGTTGTTTCTTATATCAACTGTTAATGGGTTACGTGTTCCAGGATTCTTTGCTTACTTGCATCAAACGTTCTGTTTGGGGCTCGTTCCAATTGGATTAATATAGCTTTTCTTGTGATGGAGTTTCTGAACTTTGTGGTGAATTGCCTTTCTCAGACAGATAGGTTTTTGTACTCATGGAGTGGTCTCCACCTTCACGTTTTTGATTGGGTTTGCTCTCGGTTGGGTGCACCTTTCATCAGTGCTTCCATCACTCCTTTCAGCATCAAGCTTCTTCTCTTCTGGTCCCTAGGTCCTCATCCTTTGGTCCTGGCAGTTGATGCTCTCAGCAAGGACTGGTCTTACCTTTTTCTATATGCCTACCCTTCTCTTCTTCTTTTTAACTTGTGTTCTTGCTGTGATATGCAACAATCCTTTGTCGGGTCCTGTTGGTGGAACCTCTTTGGCCAGCACATCTCTGGTTTCCCCCTGTTCCTGCTCTTTCTTGCTCCAACCACACATCTTTTTCACCTAGGATTGTCATCCCTTCATCTTCAATTGTGGGATTTGTCCAGTCCATTTCTTACAGGGTGGTCTTTCCAACCGTGTAGGGTTTTTTTCACTCCATTTCTGTCATCCTTCAACTCTGCCCTTCTATTAATGAAAGCAGTGGGTTTTTCAACGTTTATTTGTCTTTGTTTGCTGTCTTACTGTGGCCTACCGTTTGCCCTTTTCAATTTTGCATTTCCTGTTACTGCCAAGTTTCTTATCCCGTTCCTCTCCACTTTGTTCATATCCTTCCTTCTTTAACTGACCCCTAATCCTGACTGGGGTCTAAATGAGGTTGTACATTCTCTTACATGAGCTCCATTGGAGCCATTAACTTGATGTTCCTTATACCATCTTTCTCTGAAGACATATTTCCTCCTCCTTCTTGCCTGTGATCATTGTCATTTGTATGTATATGCCATTGATGCTTCCCACATTCTCTTCCACAGTATTTACTTCTCTACCCTTTCATCCTAAGACTTTGCCTGCTCAGGAAGGTGACCATTCTTTCTCTTCCATCTCACTCCCTTCAATATCTCATTTCCATGCTTATTCAGACTCAGCTCATCTTATGTGTCCATTATGGGTTCTTTGGTGTTACTTGGCATGTATGTCTCCATTTTATGGGATTCCTATCATTTCTTGTCTCTAACTTGGGATCCCTCTTCATTCATAGACCTCTTGCCTTCTACTCTTACAGGTTGGGTCCATCAACTCCTTAGATTGATGTATTTTTCCTTGGGTATTGATGCTCACGGGCTCTTTTATATTTCTTTGCATCAGCTTTTTCATTGTACACACTGTACTTGAGAAGGTAAGCACATTCTCTTTCCTTTTATAGAAACCGGCTAGGTGGATGGTATTGCTTCCCAGGGTATGCTTATTTCGCAAAACCTGCATCAGGACAGGGGTAATGAAAAGTACTCATCCCATCTGCCCTGGCTCTACCAGTGTCCACTGTTGAAAAGGGGTGTTCCACAGGATCACTTGGGGTATCCTTGTGGTATTGAAATTACTCAGTTGCTCAATCCAGACCCTACCTTTTGTGGACTATTGTGGAAAAAGCTGGTACCAGGGGAGTGATTGCCCATTTATTTGGCTTGCACTGCCCAGCTTTTAAAAACATGATTTTGTGGTCACCCATTGTAGTGTGTTTAGTGTGGGTCACCCCTCATACAGATAGTGTACTCTCCTTCTGCAGCAGGTTGGGTTCATTGCCCCCACCCCAGTGTGTGTAAGCTGTTACAGGTCTTTTAGAATATCCTGGTGGATTGTTGAGGACGTGTTGTGATTGGTTGTTTATCCCTGGTTCCAGTTGGTGGAATGGCTACATGTAGCCTTAGATTGCTCACCTCTTATCCTGAATCTGTGTTTAGTGAAGGCTTTATTGTATTGATGTAGAAAGATTCTTTAATTTTTCTTGTTTTCCAAGTGTCGATGATTTTAATTTTATCCCAATTTTTTTATGTCCAGTTGACATGGTGTGTTCTGGAATAGCTGAATTTTGTTTTATCATGAGCCTTCACTAAACAGACTTGGGATTAGAGGTGAGCAACCTATGGGTTGAATCCACGTGCAGCTATTCCACCAGTCAGAACCAAGGATAAACAACCAATCACAACACATCCTCCACAATCCACCAGGATACTGTAAAAGACTTGCAACAGGTTTACACACACTGACCTGAAGACTTTTGAAAGGTTATCTTATACACCTGTGTTTTTTCTGTAACAGGCAGTTGCTGCCCATTCCAGTGTACTCATCACTAATGAAACTGTTTTGAAAATAGCTACAAGTAATTTCTGATTTCATGGGAAAGTGAGCAGATGTAGCTATTGGAGAGAAGAGCATAAGGAAATTTAGAAGACTTAGGAACAAACCACAGATCTGGGAATGTTTTATGCTTTAACTCTTTCAACCTGGGCTTGGTCCGTGGGACCGACCTCATAACCATTTATGCTTGTTATAGTTTTCATGCTATAACTTTTAAATTAGTAAGCAAATGTTAGCAAAATTTGGCAGTTTATCAGTAAACATTACAATGCTTTCATATGCAAAATATCTAATTTTTATTAAGTCTTAAGGTTTTTAAAGCAATGTTTCTCTCATGCCTTTTTTTTTCTTTTCACATCTTTCCTATCTATCATGCAAATTAATTTTCATCTTAACATTAAAAATATTTTTATGCATCAGAAAATTTTGAAATTTCACATGCAAAATCTTTATAATGTCCAAATAGTTATCAAACGTTTCTTAAGAAAAAACTATATTTTATGTGTTATTTTCAGTAATTAATCTCTGTATGGGTTCGGTAAATTTGAGAGATCTCGCAACCACCATAAAAAATTAGGAAATGAACATAAATTATGCATCTTTCATTCTAGAATGAACACAAAAACATAAATGTTTAGACGAAATAGCTTAAATCTCATAAGATTATACATTTATATATACAAGTATTATTTTTTTTTATATTGACCTTTCACCCGTGCCTGGCTAACAATACAGAATTTACAACAATGCAGCTCACGTGCACCTGCACTCATTTTACCGTATCAAATAACATAAAGGTGACCTTTGGTCTGTAGAAAGTAACTTGTTTTGGCTGTGTTTAAGTAGACTAGTATTTTGTAAAATAGTCACATTTCAATTATTATACATTATATATGTATATAGATTATTGCTATTTTGAAATATGTTCTCAGTTGTTTTTCCTAAAACATAGAACAGTAAATAAAGAAGTAAAGCAAACAATTATCTCTTCTAGTTACGACCTTTGTACTCTGTTGCTACTTGACATAGGTTGGTAAGCCTTTAAAAATTTTGCACCTGGAGGATATGAAACAAAAATTTTTTTTTTAGGTTTTATATGTATATTTGAATAACTAAAAAATCATAAATTACTACATCAATACCATAGAATTCAACTATAATTTATCAAACTTAGTAAATAAGATGTATTTTACTCTAAAAAATATGAAATTTCGAGCAGACTAAAGACACACCCTACCTCATTGAAATATTGATTTAAAATAAAAAAATTATGCTAGGTACGTTAGAAAGGCATAGAAAACCACTAGGGGGAAATCCTGAGCTTCTGATTGGTTAATCATGTCATATATATATATATATATA